TAGTATTCCTGCTGTCTAATCAAGATAAAGTCGTTAGTGATAAGGCGGCTGGGTCTGTGGGAGACGAGTAAAAACAGAAGGGAAATATTTGCTCAGCTTAATCTGGTGAGTTGTAGGATATTAGATGACACTGATTATACTCCATTCCTTTACGTGCCTGGCAAAAATATGCAGATTCTTATTCTGTGAATTCCAAAGATGGTGGATCCAACCAGCTCCTCCACTGCCTCATTTCCCCTCCTTACTACAGCGGCTGCCTCACATGACTTTAGTCCTTGCAGGACCCATAATTCCCAGCAGAGCCTTTTTGGGTGGTCAGATGGGGACTCTTCCTCCCTTTTTTTATCAACAGAAAAGCTGGTTGGGTTCACTTCAATATATCTAATCTCTGTTGTTTGTTCAAACCTTGCTAATGCACATTTATCTTGTTTCATTTATAGCATAATTGTTGTAACGAGCTCAGTGGTTTAACGATAAAAGCTGTTGCTTATTTACTAAGCCACAATGTTGTTCCCCGATCAATCTTTTTTCCCCCCAGACTCAAACATCAAGCACAGTATTGAACCAACTGCAGAGTGACATATTAATATTCCTCTTAGGATCACTCAGGTATAGCTAACCACAGCTTAGACAGGTTATTGATAAGGGTAATGGTGCTTTTGGTCAAACAAATATAAGAGGAGAAGAGGCATAGCTAATACTTTACCTAAATGGATCATGGAAATCCAAGTCTATAGGAAGGCCATTTAGGAATAAACGTGCTTCACCAGGCTGAAGTCCAAGGGTTTCGTGAAAATGCTAGAAAAATAAAAACACCAAGTTTACTGTCACTTAGGCACACAGTACAAAACAAGATAGTAAGGAAACACAAGCATTTCAAACCAGAATACTATCTGATTCAAGTCCTTAATTTGGGGAGATGAAGCTTATCAGACATGATGACTCTTCTTTTATGCATAATAAACCTGATGCCAGCTATTCATTAGTTCCATTCAACAATCCTCCCATATTTATGGGTCGCAGTAAATGGAAAAAATCAAACACATCAAAAGGTATGCTTTAAACTGCTTATAAATTATACTCCAGGAATTGAGTTTAGCATTTGTTGTTTGACGCATCTTGGACAAACAATTTGCCATTTCTCAGAACTAAAGTTTTACAAATGCGGCACATTATTCAATTCAATTTATTACGGGTCTATATGACCGAAGTCTTGACCAAAGGAGAATGCATATGGGGTAAAATAGGTACATGCGGCACATTATAAAATAGTCTCAATTTACGCAAGGTTTGACCTAGTGGCTTGCCGGTACGGCGCGACGACGGGCGTGAATTTGGCTAGCTCCGAGCCGCCCGAGCCTCTCTTGATTCTTTTCAAGCCTCCCAGTTTTGGGAGAGCTCGACCTGCACTCCAGCAGAGAGAGCAGGAGCAAGAGGCTTCTTGCTGGCCCTTCCCGTAATTTGGCAAAGTGGGGGGGTGACCAGAATTGCCCTGATGCGGGAGCGAGAGATTGGAAAGAACATGGCCACCATGTTCTGTTTAGACGCTGCCACCTGGTCCTTTTAAACTTTTTTTTTCCTGTCGGAGTGATACATCACATTGAAGAGTCTATTTTGTGCATATGCTGGAGGAGAGGACGATTATACCCCTTATGGATACTTCCCTGTGGGATGGAAAAACCGGCCGTGGAAAGGTGTTTGGGATTTAAAATGATGTGACGAACTTGAAGGGGGTAAGAGACAATTTTCTGCTAAAAGTGCCTTTACCCTTTAAGAAGCTAATATTTTGAAATATAGTTGAACCTGACGGATTGAAGTGTGAGGAGATGGATGGAGATACTAGAACTGGAGTGCACGCATGGGAACAGTTTCAAAAAAATTTGGTAGAAG